AGAGAAAATAACATACTCCTTGTAAGTTACAATACAAATACGTTTATTAGAATGGGTATCAAAGTTGCTGTTTAGACACATTTGACATTCATTCTATTTCTCAAAACTCTTGACTACCACAATATATAAAAGGCTTCTGGAAAAGTGCCACAAGATTTTTAGTTTCTACACTTAGAGGATGCCAGGTTCTGTTGAGTCTTAGAAGGCTGTAATTAAAATGTCTTCAAGATGAAGAGCATGAAGATGAGATAAGCAATCAAAACTGCATTAAAAGTCACCTACCCTTTTATATTTGGTATGGAGGCAAGCAGCAATGGTCTTCTCCGACTATAAATTGGCAGTCTAAAATTATACAGTACCCACATATGAATCTTTGTATATTCTGTCGAAAAAATCTGTTGACGTTATCTCCATGTCATATTTGACTTTTGTAACTCATCTAATAAAAGAGCAAATGTATTTGGACAGTTACTAGAATTTATTTGTACCTTTTAATAGCTAGATTTTCCTTGTTAGGCAAATAAGTTTCCATACATCTCTTTATAGCAATGATTCAGTAAAACTTCAATTGACCAGAACTTTCTGTCTTCTGCATGCTTACATCTACACTCTATTTATAGGGAAAAGAGAGAGATCAGAGGGAGAATCAGATATGAGGATTTTCAAAAAAGTAAACACTAATCTCCATGGATTACTACAAATGTTTGTTTCTTACTCAAGCTCCACAGGCATGATGGGCCAGCTTCCCTTGTGCTCCTGGTGTGGGAGGGTGTGGGAGGGTGTTGGAGCTGCCTACCTGAATGCTGTTGGAGAAGACAGGGATTGTGTGATGGCACCTACAGTTTTTGCTGGCAAATGGGACATGTCCTTTTGCTCATAGTTCATTGCCTTAAGCAAATCTCACAGCCCAGCCTGAGGTCAGTGGAGTAGAGAAAGAATAACCTTTCCACCAAGAGAGACAGAGAATATGTTAAGCAATAACACAGTCCACCACTGTGACGGAGATTACTATATTGGTTGCACATGGTCACTGGCAGTTTAAAATTGTTGTCCACTAGAATGGACACTGGCTATCTTGGTATCACTTCTGTAGTTTAGACCTGACTGAGTTTCTCTTGGAATCCTAAAACCAATTCTTCTGTATCTTAGATATACAGCTCAATGATATCTCTTGATGCAGTGTTAAGTAATGTATCTTTATGGCAAGATTCTTGATCATGTCCCTTATATAACAAGAACAGCATTTGTTGTTGGTGAGGATGTGGGGGGAAAGGCACACAGATGCATTGCAAATTGGTGCAACCACTCTGGAAAGCAGTATGGATATTCCTTAGAAAACCTGGATTGGAACCACCATTTGACCTAGATATCCCACTCCTTGGCATATACCCAAAGGACTTAAAATCAGCATACTACAGTGAGGCTAATACATCAATGTTCACAGCAGCTCAATTCACCATAGCCAAGCTATGGAACCAACCTAGGTACCCTTCAACAGACAAATGGATAAAGAGAGTGTCATGCATATACACTATGGAATACTCAGCCATAAAGAAGAATGGAATTATGGCATTTGCTGGTAAATGGATGGAACTAGAGACTATCATGCTAAGTGAAATAAGCCAATCCCCCAAAACCAAAGGCCAAATGTTCTCTCTGATATGCAGATGCTAACACACAATAACGTGGGGTGGGGCAGAATAGAAATTCATTGGATTAGACAAAGGGGGATGAAGGGAAGGGTGAAGGATGGGAATAGGAAAGACAGTAGAATGAATTGGACATAACTTTCCTATGTTCATATATGAATACATGACCAGTTTAACTCCACATCATGTACAACCAAAAGAATGGGGTGTTATACTCCATCTGTATATAATATGTCGAAATACATTCTATTGTCCTGTGTAACTAAAAAGAACAAAAACAACAAAAAATAGTATTTGTGAATTGTTACGAACTTGTCTCAGTGAAATTCTGGGTGCTTTAGTTAATCTACCTAGCATTTGTGTGAAGAATAAAAGATTATTCTCATTTTACTTATCAACAAATTGACCCAGAGAGCTTATGCAAGAGGTGAAGCTGGGATGTGATAAGAGCCTTTGAACCCAGAGTTCTGGCAAATTGTTAGGAAAACAATAACGATCTTTTGGACATTGCACAACCAAAGAGGAATTTTTGCTAATTAACCAGAAAATGAAATGACCACTTTCCCCATAGATTTCGAAATGGCCCAAACTATTACTAAGCCGCTCACAAAAAATATTATAGGTATTTATCTTAAGCTTATAAAGAAAATCTTTCAAGCCAAGTACTTATTATTATTTTTTTTTTTTTGTAAAGAGCACTCAGGAACATTTTATTTGGAGAGGGAACACACAGAACCCATTGCTTAAAAGAACAATTGGTCTGAGTAGATGGCTGAAGAGGAAAAAAAGAAGTGACGTTCGAGTTAAGGTTCCTGAGAAAGAATATATTTTGTCCCCACTTTTAAAGATCTAGTTGAGTATCTTTAACTTTTAGTTGGAGTATTGAGTACTTTAATATTTAATGTAATTTTGATGTGATCTAATTAGGTCTTCCATTTTAGTATTTTATGTTTGTCTCCTTGGTGTTTTAATTCTGTGTATCTCCATTCCAGCCTTCTATTGGATTATCTTAACATTTTAGGGAGACATTTTAGTTTGGCTTTTTAGTTATACCTGTTTGCATTATTATTTAGTGATTGCTCCAGGCTTAAAAATATTTGCTCTTAATATTTTTCAGTGTACTTAAGGTTAATACCATGTGTCATTTTACATAAAATATACATCTCTTTTGTTCCCAACATTTAACCTATAGTTGCCACATATATTACATCAAAATTCATTATAAACCACATAAAACAAATAAATAAGTAAATGAGTAGAAGGAAGACCAGTAGTGTAGAGGAAGAGGAATAGGCAGAGGGAGGAGGGAAGGGAAAGGATAGGCACTAGGGACAAAAAAATATACCCCCCCCCCAAAAAAAAAAAAAAACACAAAGATAGTGTTAATTTTTTTCTTTAAAGAGTTTTATGTCTTTCGGGGCTGGGGTTGTGGCTCAAGTGGTAGAGTGCTCGCTTAGCACCTGGGAGGCACGGGGTTCAATCCTCAGCATCACATAAAGATATTGTGTCCACCTAAAACTAAAAAATAAATATTAAAAAAAGTTTTGTATCTTTTAAGAATCAAGAAGAGTCAAAGTCATCCCTACCTCTTACCATTTACAAAAATAAACTAAAAATGTATTAAAGACTTAAATGTAAGACTAAGCACTATGAAACTACTAGAAGAAAACTTAGGGGAAATGCTTCAGGACATCTGGACAAGCAAGGATGTTATGGACAAGATCCCAAAAGTATAGGAAACAAAAACAAAAGATTACAGCAAACTAAAAAGCTTCTTCTCAGCACAGAAAAAATCAAATCAGAACCACAATGAAAAAAATTATAATAAAATTCAAAGTACATCCCAGCTGAAAAATCAGTCTATAGATGGAAATTATTAATTTTAAAACACAATTTTGTCCCTTGGTTTATCATTGTAGCCTGAGCATCATGTATAATCCTTAGTATGTAACAAGACATTAAATCAATCCTATTGAATGAATGAATGAATTCCTTTCCCAGCTCTGGGCTCTGTATTTTATTCATCATTGTATCTCCCTCACATGTACAATGCTTGACACTGGACCTACACCATTCATTCACTGTTTGTGGAATTAAATCAAACTTAACTGAAATTCTGGTTGAGAAAAAATGATCTGGAAATACAAGTGAAAAATCATAGCAGAACACGCATTTTAAGCATTTATACTGTTCATTGAGTAGTGCTAGTTTTCTAGTCCCCTCAACTGATCACCAAAAACTAAACAACCCCTCACCACATTATACTTTGCTAACAAATAGTAAATCATATAGAATTCATAACCTCTACCAAGAGAACACAACTTCAAATGTTTCTAGAGAATATAAAGATGAACAATGTACAATGATAAGCATTTCATTGTACTGAGGTTGTAAATTATTGTAAAGTGTTGAATTTGTCAGATTATCTGCAGAAATCTGGTAACCTGTGTTCCTTCTAATCCATTGTACACCAAAGGTATTTCAGGAGAGCTGATTGTTATGAGCACAGTATTTTGAGCATTCCCTTTTTCACTCACTCATGCAACATATAACTTGAGCCATTCTCCTTTCTCTTTGGAAGGTTGGGCATATCCAGAGTGTATTCCAGTGGTCTGGAACACAAACCAGTTTTCCTAGGTGCAGATCCCCAGTGGACCACTTAACAGCTTGGTGGCCTTTAATATGCATTTTAACTTTTTGCTTAGTTTCTTCATTTGGAAGACACAGAAACTAATAGCACCTACCTTGCCAGGGCTATTGTGAAGGTTGAATAGGTTAATCCATGGAAAGCACCTGCCATATAGTAAGCATTAATAAAAACGGGCTCTTACTGCCTTCAGTGCTTACCAGGAACCTTGGAACCTTACAGGTGATTTGTACAACTTTATTGAAGGAATAACTCTAAAATGAGAGTTCCAAGTGAGCATTTCAGTCACTGTTTATTTTTATTTATTTGTTTAGTCATTGCAGAGTATGAGAACACAAAAGTTTTGATTGTTTATTCCTTTTATGAAATTCTCTACTAGATCAAAAAGAGGCAGTCTTTTGACTTGGTATTCTTTGGGAAGAGTGTAATATTGGCACATGATTACATTGAATTGGAAATTACCAAAGTACATGCTTTGGAGTAAAGGGAGTTTCTGTGTTTCATCTGAACTTCGTTCTAAACGTGGACGTGGTAGAAGGAGTCACCTACAGAAAAAAGAACCGAGTTTCAGAATCCCCAGCAGGAGTCATTGGATTTATAGAAAGACTGTTCGAACTCGCAAATGGGCTCAAGTTCCTCCCCCTTTGACCAGGATACTTGGGGAGAGGTGTGGGGTCTAATAATTAGTCTTTACATCCCCAACACCTGGCACGGTGCCTGACAGGTGGAAAGTCAGGAATTTGTTTTCAAGGAACAAAGTATTCAAAAACCAAGGCACCCGGGAAGGTTTAGTGTCAAGATATTCTATCTTGACTTTCTCAACTTCTACCTACATGGACTGAAGGTTCAGTCTTCGCCGCCTCCTCCATAGAAAGATTCTCCACTCCACAAAGCAAAAACAATGACCCAGTTTCCTTCCTTTGTTGCAAAAGAGGGAGAAAGGACAGAGACAGGGCTGGAAACAAAGCAGCCTCTCTTAAGTGGATGAGCAGTGAGCTCGTCCTACTCCTCCAAGGGTCTTGCTGGTACTGTTAGTTGCCCCCGCCCCTGCCCTGACCCGCCCTAAAGCTCAAACTTGCAAACAAATTGCCAGCAAGAGCGCCGAAGGAGCAACTCTGCATCTCCGCGATGGGCTCCGGGACTATGGTCACTGCACAGAGAGAATTTTCTGGAGGCCCCATGGAGTCGCCAGCAGAGCTCGACTGTGGCCCTCAACCCTTCGTCTCGGGGGCTGTCCAGGAGGAATCTCCGGCTGCCAACCCGCTCCTGGAGGACCTGCGGCGGCGGCTGATGCGCGCCTTGCAGCGCACCATGGCGCGCTGGGGCTCGCGGCGTGCGCGGGAGGCTGCCGCGGCGGCCGAGGCGGCGGCGGAGGCGGCGGCGCTGGAAGAGCAGAGTCCGGCGCGCGTGGAGAGCGCTCTGGGCCGGCTGCGCGCAGAGCTGGTGAGCGCGCGGGCTGGGCGGCCGGCTCTCGGGCAGTAGTCGCCTGGGTCTTCTCCGCCTCCAGAGCCTCTGGCTGCGTAGCCAACCCGAGGATTTAGGGAGATCCACCCGAGTTGTTCCCAGGGAGAGTGAGAGTTGACCGCGGTCCTTGGTCTTCCCGGGGCGCCAGCTCGTGTCCACTTACTGCGGTTTCATTGCCATTGCCCCAGTAACATCGTGGGAAGAGGCCTTCCGGGGTTGATCAGGGCCTAGTGTACTAGTGATGTTCTCAAGACCCCAGCTGACCTTCCCCAACCTGTTTCTATATTATTCTGCTATATGAAAAGTTCTCCATAGGAAATTTTTGACTTGTGTATATTTGAAGTGTGGAGGAGGAAAATTCAATGAAATAAGCTCTCCTGGGATAAATGGAGTGAGCCCATTAGCAACTCTTTCTTTATATCCCACAAGATACTCTTATTTTACCTCTTGTTAAGAATTCAGAAGACTGGAAAGGGTAAGGTGTTTTGTAAAACTGTATGAAAGGAAAGTGACCACAACACTCGGAGCGACCAAGAGATCTTTTTGCTGCAGTGCAACAGAGGAGAAAAGAGAGAAAGAGGAAGAGAGAGAGAGAGGAGAACATGCACGCAAGGGAGACAGAGAGATCAAGAGAGAGAGAGACAGAGCAAGAGAACAAGAGAGCAAGAGAGAGGGGGGCCCAGCAGGAGGGAGTTTTTATAGCCCAAATCTAACGGGGGGGCCTTTGGGTCTGCAAGCTGTTGGCACAAGGGGGTGGGGGTGAGTATTCAGCTTTGACCCAAACAGGTGATAAAGGACCAGACAGAGAGGGGTTTGAGTGCATGGGCCATCCTGCAGCTAACATTTGTTCAGCCTGCCCTGCAGATAACATAGTTCAGCCTGTTCTGCACCTAACACTGTAGCTTTTGAATATCAGGCAGGTTACGACTTAGTGTGCTACAGGAGGAAGTGTATGTAAACATTTTATATGAGTGTTTTTTAAGATTTAAAAAAACCCTCTAAAACAGAGTTTGAAAAGGACAACATAAATCGAAGCAATTCATGCTTTGAAATGGTGCTGCTGATGAATTATGTAATGGAGACTTGACTTGAAAATTTCTCCTTTACATTAAATACCAATAACCAGTACTTTAGAACTGATGGTTAAACATTAGTGAATTGTCTGGTTAAGTACCTCAACATAATATCTATCTCCTTTATGACTTTAAGAAGGGCAGTATGGTAGTTAATCTTACTTTACCATGTTAATAACCCGAATCTGATAAGGGCTCCATTGTATCCATATAGCCTTGTTGAAGAAACACTTGATTTTCATCCAGAGGCTTAGCAGTGAGTCTAACTAGCTAGATATGGGAGCCACCTCATTATGGAGCCACCTGGAGGCCAAATGCTAAAGCTGAGGCCCAGCCATCTCTGTACCCACCACCTATGCCACTACCCCTCCCTGCAGCTCAGCGGACTCATTTAAATCCAATGAAGAGATCATATTGAACAAACTCTGAGACACCTATTAATAACATTCTAGCAAGTTGTTCCACCAGTAGGAGTTTTAGCCAAGTAATGTATATTTGTGGGTGAGAAGATAGGGAATAAAATTCCAAGCAGATGAAGGTTCATATCCCAGAATTAGCATTTATGGGCTCTGTTAACATTTGATGGCCCTACCACTTTGGGATGTTAATTAGTAAGTTTGAGTTTATTTATTCACCTGTAAAATGAAGATAATAATCTCATAGGATTTCTGTAAGAATTATATGAGGCAATATTATACCAAGTGCCTAGATCATAGGCATTATTTGTTGACTCTTCTTATTGTGATAATTATTGTTATTGACTGTGCCAAAAAGAGCAAATACTTATATGTAAAAAAATTAAGGTTTTTCTGGAAAGGAACCACAGAATTCTATACATTCACAAGATATTATGTACCTGATTTAGAAATCATGGTCAATGTCTTGGCCAACCACCTAGCCAATGTGTGTAATTGGTCATGAAGAAGAAGCATTAGACAGGGGTATTTTAGCTTAGTATCATCATCACTAGAAGAAGTAATTTTTAATTATGGTCAATTAATTAGATTTCTGTAGGAATCTACATACACCAATACACATAAGCACAGGTATCATATATTAAAAAAGAATTTACCAAAGATGTTTCTTTGATATGATGAACAAGTTCAGTTAATTTGGAGTTATGTTTGACTTGCTTTTCCTAGTGGGATGTATTGGTTTTTATGTATTGTGAGTAGGTTTCAGTGTTATATATATTCAAATTCTATGTAAAATTTTTTAGGTGCATAAAGTGCATTTTTTTTCCTCTCATAGCTAGCTCATGGCTTTCATCATATTCTCAAAGGCATCCATGATGAAAGAAAGTTAAAAAACTGTTGATGTTTGAATATCCTAAATAAGTGTAAATTACACATACTTCCTTTATTAAAGAGTGAACCATTATCAATAATTTTACTCCCTGATTCTTGGCATAAAGACAGAGGATGGCTGTCTATCATCAGTTCATTCATTTATTCCTTCATTCACTTAGTCTTTTAGCAAACATATAGAGAGAGGACTATTGTGCTGTGTGCAATGCACCCAAGCTGGGGACATAATCATGAATAAGACACACACTCTGCCCTCGGCATCATCAGTCTAGTCTGGTTTGTGTTGCGAGAGCGAGTGTACAGAACGCTGTGGAAGCAGTGCAGGGGCCAGTCATGTCTACCCACACAATTGGAAGTGTTGGCACTTGATTGCATTCAGTAGAAAGAGAAGTGGTGAAGGGTATCTTAACCACAGGTCAGAAGGAGGAGAGGCTTTGCATGTTGTGTCTTCAGGATGCAGTGGGAACTGGCATGGGAAAGGGTTCCAGAAAAAGAAGATGGAAAAAAAAAGGGCAGGATTCCCAAGTCTGAGCCCGAGAGAACTGAAGCTCCCCATAGGCCACAAGTAGGGGCTTTTCGTGTTGTTCTTTTACTGTTTGTTAGCTGGATGTCCATCTACTTTATCCCTTGCTAATTCTTGCTACCATAGAAGTGGTTCTAGGTGTTGAAGAATGAAGAAAAATGTGGGGGAAAACTGAAAGATAACTTTACACACTAGCTTTATTTTGCAAATTACATACGGACCACCAACCGATGCATTATGCACTTTTTAATTTACACAATGTCCTGGTTCATCCTGAGATGGTCATTTTTGGCGAGTTGATGGGAGATTTTAAGCAGAAAGAGCAAATTTCTCAGGAGCTGCATCAAGCTAGACCCTGATCCAAGAAATTCACAAGTAGTTGATCATTAGTTTTAGGTTACAATACAAAGTTTATGTTGGGCTAAGCTTTGTTAGACTGCCTCCTGGGTAATCTGCCCTAGAGATCTAGTTTTAAAAAATTTTAACACAGGAAGACCTTCATAAACTCTGATTGGAGGAGGTATAAATCAGTCTTGCTATATAACATTTCATTCTAGAGTGAAAAGTGTTAGATTATATAAGTACACATAACTATACATGTGCCTCTAAGGTGTCGTTAAATGTTTTTGCTCGTTGGAGAGACCATTTAAAATCCTGAAAACTTGAAATGACAAGTAATCAAGTAAATGGGCCCAGAGCCTGAACACTCAGATGGCCTTAGGCAGTTATCTTGTGGCTGGGAAAGCTCATAAAGATAAATGATTTCATCGTGGATCACATGCCATTGCTTGAAAACAGCCTTCAGTACACAGGTATTTTTCATATGGACAGTTTTGTGCATCAGCTATTTTTGTTTTCATTTCAAGGCCATTTCAAAAGCTATTTATATATCTGAATTTTACCTTGTCGTATAGAAAGTCAGTTTTATAGCCAGGCCAAATAGTCAGAACGTGAAAATAAGATGAGAAATACATCTTTTTTTGATATCTTATTTTCCTTTCCCAAAGACTCCTTATTTCTCCTGTGCAGTTGAGAGCAGTTTCATTTGATCTGTATCTCAAGCTAATAAAAATCCTTATATTTTTTCCCCCCTAACTTTTAGCTGGAAATGTGTTTCCAAAACCATCAGCTGGCCAGAACTTTACTGGATTTAAACACGAAAATGCAGCAGCTGAAAACAGAGCATGAACTGGAAATTGCATCAGAATCTCAATCCCTGGAAGATAATGCTGTGAATCAGGAGCATGATCTGAACCCATAACACAGATAACTCTGAAATGATTCTAACAGTAACATTATATGTGCTTGATATGAGCTCTGAGGACAATTTATAGACCAAAAATTTGGATGCCTAGGGAAAACGACAAAAAACATCTAAGAAAGAGGACAGAGAAAATGGTGCCTTAAAATATTTTGAAAATATTTATTTATTGTTTGGGCTCTTTTCCACAAGAAGTGTGTGTGTGTGTGTGTGTGTGTGTGTGTATGGGGCGGGTTATGGGAAGGAAAGTCACAGATGCCCAAGCCAATTTCCAATCTTCCCTCTTTTTGTTACCTTTCTTTTGGGGCTTTACCTGAACTTGTTTTTGTCTTACTTTATTATTTATTCTTGATTTGTAGCCCAGTAGCCTGTTCAATATATTGCTCTCCCCTCATTTTTCGGGAATTACTTCTGCCTGGAATCTGACAAGACCTTCTGGTGGTTTGCCACTGAGAATGTTCCTTCTTCTTGGATATTGTCATCCAGATCAAGGAAAACAGAACAGATTGTCCCAGGATTTTTTTGAACAGGTACATTCACTGAGTCTGTGTGACAAGGGACACAGAAGCTGCTGTGGTCACCATGGTAGAAAGCCCAGCCCAGGGGGGTGGTTCGGGGGTTGAAACTGAATCACTGAGCTCAAAAGGAGAGGGAGGCTGTGGTGTTCCTTGTCTCTGAGGTCAGGCTTGTTATCCTTTAGATACATGAAATACTCTCAATTATACTTGAAATTATATTTGCAAAATAGATTTCCTATGTGTTTCTTCCTTTTCATAAAATCTCCTTTTATGCAAGTTTATTCAAGTTGTAGTTTTATGACTGTATACAAAAAGTTTCCTAACTAAAGCAATTCTTTCATTTAGTTTATAGGAGTTACAATAGTTCTTATTGTTGCATTAGAATATCTAACTGTGCCTTAAAAGTACTGTCTTTTTAATGTAAAAAAAATAAACATTAAAAAATAGTTGTAGGCCTAATTGATATTTATACTGGTTATCTAAAAGTAAACATTAATTTATAACAAGCTATGTAATTTTAATGCTTAATTAAAATAAAATTGCTCTTGAACACAAAAGAACCTAAGAGATGTGGTCTTTCTCTTTTTAAAATAAATGCTGGGGCTAGGGGTGTAGCTCAGTGGAATAGCATGTGTGTGCATGAGGCTCTGGGTTTAATCTCTAACACCAAAACCCACAAACAAGCAATGAAAGAGAAAAAAGAAATAAAATTTTTTCTAGTGTGAGTATTTGAGAATATCTGGACCAAGTTTAGTTTGTCTTTAACTTTTTTCCATAGTAAGTAAATTATTCTAGCCTATTGATACTTAATTTCTTACCTCTGTAGGACTGAGCTATTATGAGCTATTATGAATATACACAGTGATATTCAAAATTAGGTTTGTAAAAACATATTTCCTATGTGTTTCTTCCTTTTCATTATTATTATTCATACTGGGAATTGAACCCAGAGGTGCTTAACCACTGAATCACATCCCCAGCTCTTTTTTATTTTTTTTTTTTAATTTTGAGTCAGGGTCTTGCTAAGTTGCTTAGGGCCTGACTAACTTGCTGAGGTGGGCTTTGAACTTGTGTTCTCCTGCCTCAGCTTCTCCATCTTTTGGGATTATAGGCATGTATCACCATGCCCGGCTCCTTTTAATTTTATTGAATTTATGAGGAATGAGTTCCTCATGATGTTTTTTGCTGTTGTTGTTATTGTTATATTTGTTTTAAGCTGCCCCTTAATTGTTGCAGTGATCATTCTCAAGAGTGTTTTAAGGATCATATTTATAAATACTTATGATTCTGAGGAAATACTCAAGGTGATTCATTTATAAACTCAGTTCCTTAGAAAATATAGATTATAGACATTGCTTAGTATTTATGTAGTTTGATCATACTGATGATGTGCTATATTGGACATCAAAAGAAAGAAATATGAAAGAGAACTTCTGAAAATAGATGCATTGATGTTCAAGTTTTCAGACCAAAAAGAAAAAAAAAGTTCATTATTTTATTGCAAAGTTTTGTTACCACTTTTTTATTCTAATTTTCAGAGATAAACGTTATTTTAGGAACCCCAGATGAAGAGACAGAAACTCTTTGCCTCAAAAATATCTTAATTATGGAAGTCCTAATCAGTAGGATTGGCCTTGGCCTTGTAATTTTGGCTGTGCAATATGAAAACGTAATGAGAGCTTTGATATGGGACATTATCACTATTAAATGTTTCTGTTTTTCTAGACATCCCTTGCCTTTTTTTTTAGGTAGCAGAAACAGATGATTGTTTTACCATTTTTGTTTGAAATGACACTCTACTGTTTGTTGTCAGCTTGCTGGATTGTCTTCCTATCAGCAGTGGCACACAGGAAGCCAGAAGGAAAGTTTTCTAAGAGATGCAAGGATGTGCCTACATTGGTTACAGTTCCCCTTGTACCAGGGTTTTAAAATAAACCAGGGCAACAGTGTGACATTTTAAAGATATATGAGATGGAAGGGGCCAAAACTAGTGCCAGTTGGAGAGGAAATGAGAAAATAATTATAACCCAAATTACTCATCAGGGAAGCAGTAACTGAATAAACCGAGGAAAGTAAGATGCTCATAACAAAAGCGGAGAGAGAGGGCCAAAAGAAGAGGCACTAAAAACAATTTCACCATGAAAATATGATGCTTGGCTTTTTCGAATGACACGATTGCTCACAGTGTTAATGGTGGGGGGATAAAAACACCTTTTCAGGAAATGGGCTTTCGCTCTGTGGTGCTTGTTTAGCACCTACCAGTGAAGAGGTTCAAAATTGATTATGACAATTAGGTGCTTTGCACATGTCATTAGGCAGCACATTCCTTTACAGGTGGCGTGGACAATCCTGTTTTGTTTGGCTTGCCAGACTACTTCTGCTGGAACAGGTGCTGCAGCAACCCCAGCCTGGGGACAGATCAGAGTCTGCTGTGGACAACCTCATGATAGCTGAGCCCACACTAGCATAATTACAGGAATCCTATCTCCTCAGTCCCCTCCTGGCAGGATCTAGCACCCTGTGCAGCCATCAGCTCTGTTTGTTTACCACTATCATCACTGCCAGAGTCCCTCTGGGCCTAGGGTTTGGCACAAGGCCCTCCAGAGCCAGCTGCTTTCTCTCCTGGTTGTTTTCATGGTTGCTGATGCTGCCATCGCTGCTGCCTCTCTGCTTCTTTGCCTTATCAAGAAAGGTTAAGGTAGAATGAGAACTAGGTTAGGTGTCTGGTTAAATGTGGGCCGCCCTGCCTGCCTCTGGCTCTGTCAGCCTCTTGCTCCACCTGAACAAAGTGCTGGGCAATAGAACTCCGAGTTGGGGAGATACTTCCTGGAGCAGCCAGAGTTGGTGTTTCTCCTGGGGCTGATGGATTGGGAGTTAGAAGACTTGCTTTTTCCTTCAGAATCATACTGCCACCACATTTCTCTGCTGGGCCCAGTGCAAGAGGGATATGTGGAATATAATTACAATAACAAAACCAGCCATGATATCACCATCCCTCCAGTTCCAACCATTGTGCCGATAAGTCCACTTGCATCAGCTTATCTCATTTTCACAGTGATTTGTAGGAGTGTAGGACCCATTTGGCTTTGCCACCTACCAGCCATATGTTTGAAATCCTTTTAAGTCTGTCTAAAAATGTGGGTAAAAGAAACTCACCTTATTTAAATCTTGAGCATCCCAAGCTATAGAACCATGAAGCAGGTTTTGGAGATGGAGTTCATGGTGAAGTTGCTCCTACTTCTGTGAGTTTCTTCCTCCTGTACTTTCAGTTCTTACCACCCTTTTGGATTTAGACCTTCTCTGGACCTCTTTCCATATGGCATTATTATGCCTCTCTAATGCTCTGCCTCTCGGTGGAATGATAAATTGTTGATTTACCAAACATGGGAGTCGACAGCTGGGAGACACAAAATCAATAGTAACTGCTACTTACCACCACTGAATCTGCCTGGCACACAGTGCTGTGTGGGATTGAATCAAATTGCCCTCGCAAAACTGTGAAGTCGGAACAATTGTTTTTCTCTATAGAGAAAGAGAAGAAGTACTGGAGAGGTGATGGAACTCAACACAGGTCACTCAATTAGCAGGCAGAGCTGTCAAGATGTACCTCTGCTGTTGTGAAGAAGAAATCTATGCACAGGTGAATAATTCACCATTTTAACAGAAGCACATACAAAGTGCTAGGGATGCATTTTACAAGAATCAGACAAGTCTTCATTGAAGGCATGCTTTCAAGTTATTCTTTGTGTTCACTGAGGGAAAAAAAAAGCTCTCCTTTTGCATCTTATATCTTAGATAAACTAGTTGGGTAATCTGGACAAATTAATCCACTTTATTTGTGCCTAAGTTTTCTCATTTGAAAATAAGAGAGTTACTGGAAATGGTCCCTAATTCATTTCTCTGACTTCAAAACTTCTATTCTGTTTTAATCCTGCCAGGTGGTGGCTGGACTCTACTGACTCTGGTGTTAGCATGATGGGCTGCTGACTGTCACTGGCCCCTGGCTGTGAAGTGGACTCTCTAGGTCCTACCCTTGCTCTGATCACAGCCCCAGCTGTTGCAACCTTGATGATAACAGGAAGAAATCTCATTACTCTTGAATGTCCCTCTGCTCTTCTCACACACCATGACTGCAGCTGGGGGGAAATGTCACATTTGCACTTCAGAGGGAGACGAGCATCACTCAGATCTCTTCTGTGCCCTGATTTTAGAGGTGGCCTGCTGTGGCGCCTGCTGCTGGTTGGGAGCATTACACACTACATCAGGTGATGGAGTTGGAATCTTGGCTCTCTCACCTCCTCCCTATCTTACACAACATCTCTGCAGATCATTTTGCTTATGTCCAAATGATAATAATCACATCTACACCCAGGATTTGTTGTGAAGAGTCAATGGATAAATGCCTGTGAAGTGCTTAGAATACCAACTGTTTATTATTTTAACAAGTGTAGGTAGGTGACATTTTGCTCATCCTTGCCTACCAGAAGTGCCCAAATCCAAGAAAGAGAGAGACTGAGGATAACAGTTTTGTGTTTCCCAGCCCCTCTTTCAACTCAGGATGCTTCTGGAATCCAATTCTGTCCAATAAGATAAAGAGGAAATTTCCTGTGGTGGGGGTTCTGAGAAACATTTTCTCTCCTTACACAAGGAGAGATAAGAGGAAAGCACTCTTCTCCCTCACCTCTTCCTTTCTTGCTTATGGATATTGGCACATGTGATTGGAAAACTTGTACCTGCTATAGCCATCCATGACCAAGGGAGGAAATATATGGACATATTAGGGATGAAAGGACAGAAAGATGAAAAGAAACAGTTTCTTGGTGACATCACAGGGTTGCTGAATCCACCCTGAGTGTGCCTGCCACTGGCTAGTCTTGTTCTGTGAGACAGTGATAACAGTAAGACCCAATTGTTTAAGCTACTTCATTTTGCATGCAGTTCTTTCACCTAAAAGCACTATAACTGACACACTTGAACCTCAATGACCTCCTGGGACAAAGGTTCATGAGGGAGCATTGTCTGATGGCACTTGTGGACATCATCAGAAACTAGACAAAGGAATCCAGAGACAAACTTTGTTGCTTAAATATTTCACATTTGCCTTTAGTGAGGACCCATCCTATGCAATAGGGGAACAACTAGAATGAACTGAGAAGAATCCCCTCCTGAGCCCCTGTGGAATCCCACAGTAAATGTGCTAACTGTGGAAAACATTTCCCCATCTGCCCCACCCCTCCCCAGGATGTCCAAGTGTCTGTGAAACCTTCAACCTATCTGATTCTATCAGAGAAAACATTTTACTTTTCAGCAACTGAAAGAAGTGAGGTAGAAATATTTTCCTAAAATGTCTCAAAATTTAACTGACAGCAAAACACAGTAAATGATTTGTCAGCTCTTAAATTTTTATATGAGGGAAGTTGAGAAAACTGTCAGAAAAAGCTTGGCACTGTTTTTCTATAAAAATGGCTTCTAAATTAATATTGAGGGTGCAATTCTGTCTAAACTTCTACAGGATTCAGTTATAAATTGTTGTGCTAAGA